GTGACAGTGGGCTGCGCTATGTGGATGAAGCAAGCAGACAGATCTCATCACCTCTCAGAGCCACAAGGGACCTGAGTGCACAGGCAAGATCTGGCCACACTGAATACTCACAGGAGGCTGTTCAAACCAAACCAGAAAATTGCAGAACAGTTAAAGACTTTGAAACCTTCACTTCTGGATCCCAGCAAAGCAGACACAGGGTCCTTGAGCCTACTAATCCCAGGGGAGCCTGGGATGGAAAGGATTTTCCCAACATCACACAAGGCATGGCTGATGCTTCCTGGCCCCCAGCTGTGAACCTGCCATCTGCTGAATTCCACAGTGCCCCTGCCTAAACTCCTCCCAGGCCTAGAAGCTCGCCACTTACCAACAAAGACTCTCCCCAAGGGCTCTCAAGTGAAGGTGAAGGTGGAAAGAGTGAGGGAAGAGGCCTTGCATTTGCTGGATGCGGCTTGATTTGCAGTGGCAACTTGTACCCTCTTTATGTCCATTTAACTCTCACCTGGACCTGAGAAGCAGGCATTGGTCTCACTGAGGTTGGCACAATGCTGGGGGTAAAGGACTGAGAAGTTGCCAAAGAGAAGAGAGGACTGAACTTGGGCCTGGGTGTACCTGACACTGAAGCTCATCTCTCTTCTACTCCACATGGAGTATACCCTGGAAGGTGTCTAGCCAGGAGCCATTCAGAGTCCATGAGAGGAGGCTAGGGCAGCCTGGCTGGGGTCTGCCCAGCAGGGGTCAGCTATGAAACACAGTAGTGGCTAAGCAGGCAGGCAAACCAGGGCCTGCCAGCCCAGGGGAAGACCCTTAGTTTCAGGGTGATCTTCCAAACTACCAGTCCAAGCCCAGCCTCACCAAAGACCCCATGTACCTTTTGCTAGGCTCCAGCCCATTCTAAGCCTTGGTTGTCATCTGTGATATGAGCAGGGTCATCTCCTGAGGTGGGACAAGAGGGCAGTGCCAGCTCCCCTCACAGGCTCCTTCCTGGCAGGGCTGCTCTCAACTCTCCATTAAAATACAGGTGATTCCCATGGGGTGGGGAGCCCTTGAGAAGTTGGAGAAGTGAGGAGCCAACACCTGGGATTACACTATCTGATGGCTCCCACCCCAACAGGTGCGGCCTAGCCCAAGGCGGGAACTGCCACAGCAGGCAGGAGTCAGTTCCTGGCCTGCGGGAGCTTCTGCGTTGGGGGCTATGCTGGTGCAGTTGTTTGTGGCCTAATGAAGCAGGCACATCCTGAGACACAACTGCTAGGTGTCATCTGTGGACATCAGCATGCCCACAAACTCAAGACAGCTGTGCCAGCACTAGGTGGCATACATATTCCACAGTAATGTGGAACATAAGGCATGCCTGCCAGCACTGACTGAGCCCTCGTGCTGTGGCGTGTGGCTATCCTGCTGTGTGGAGTGATGTGGTTCCCAGGGAGGATGGGCACAGCTGTGGCTTCCCATCCCAGGCCCAGTGTCTAGGGGCCAAGAGGCCTTGTACATGCTTTCACTGCCCTGAGCCAAGCAGGGTGGGAGTATGGCCCAATGGGTCCATTACTGGTGGCTCGGAGGGATATCAGGCTGCTTCTCCAGGAATGTGTCTGGAACCCAGCTCCTCCAGTTCTCAGCTCTGCGGCCTTGGGCAAGTTACTCGCCCTCTCTGAGCCCCACCAAACCTTGGGTTCCTCCTCTGGACAAAGGAGGCAACACCCACTTTATGGAGCTGTGGCAAGGATTACACAGGATAGGTAAAGTGCCCGTTCAGCACTTGGCATATAGTTGGCATTTAATAAATGCCTCATTAAGCTGCCTTTATTCTCCTGGAGCCAAGCCACAGGCTAGGGCTCTCTCGAATGTGAAGGTGGGGAGCTGACAGGAAAGATGTGGGGTCAATTGGGCAATGCAAAGCTTGGCTCCACTTGTTCTTGTTGTGTGGCCTTTAGCAAGAAGCCTTCTCTGGGTCTCTATCCCTAAGCCCTGGCCTGGCAAGCATAAATCTGGGTCTAGATGGGGACTCAATCCTAATACCTCAGCTTCCACCTATGTCCTCCACAGCAATGTGAGGAAACTGTGACTCACTCTGTCCCTGGAGCTGGTAAGAGGGTCTTCCAGGAATAAGTCCTTGTTATATCCTCACTGTCATCAAAGTGGGCACTAGGATCTGCTGGAAGCTCCTCTGGCTGAGGCCAGACCCCACCCAGCCTCACCCTCTGGAGGCCACACTCTTAACCCTCCCAGGCGTGATGCTACAGGCCTCTCTGGTATGCAGGCTGGAGCCCAAGATAGGCTCCTCCCAAGCCAAGACTAGGGGAGGGGTGGGAAGGTCAGGCAGGGCCTCTTGCCTTAGAAGGGAGCCCACCCAGGCCAGACAGAAGTGCAGAGAGCACATGGTGGCTCAGGGCCACAACACCAAGAGGGTACAATGTGGGACCCACCATCCCTTGATCCATGATTCTAGGATCCCAGGCAGCAAGCGGCAGAACCAAGAAGACCTTTCACAGACTTCAATGTCTGTACCCACTTCACAGGTTGGATGGCTAGGGTCTAGGGAGGAGCCAGGGCTGGTCCATTCCCACAGTGGTGGAGACAGTGCCAGGGCCGCCCACACACTCCTGGCTCCTGATACTGTCATTTCTTAGTTAGACCATTTCAGTTTTCAGGGAAGGGAGGATCCAAAGGGAAGTCCAGATGGGAGCACAGCCACTGGAGGCAGTTGAGGTGGTGTGGGCTGAGTGTACACTTTGTCATTTCCTTGCCCCAGGGTCTGTCAGTTGTGCTGACTACAAGGCAGGGTGACTCAGCACCAGCTGACAAGGCCCAGAAGCCCCCATGGAAGGGAGACCAGTCAGCAAAGCCCCCATCCCAGTCCTAGGAAGCTGGAGTTTCCCCAGCACTGTCATGGGGTGGGAGGGGGAAGTAGGGGTTGAGGGGCCAAAGATGACTCATGTGAGAGATAAGGCAAAAGAGACCCTGCAGGCAGGAAAGAGGTGAGGGCAGGTAAAATACTCTGTCAGCACCTACTGGCGTCTAGCCCTGCCCTGTGAGGATGGGAAGCAGCTGACAGGGAAGGTGGAGGACTCAAGCCACTTGGATCAGCTGCCCCTCCCAGCCCCTGCCTGTCACTGTCCTGTTACCCAGGGTGGCACTGCACCAGGGTAGGTCCTAGAGCTGGAGTGCAACACAGGTCTGGTCCCCACCCACCACCTAGAACTTGCTAGGTGACCTTGGGCAGGGAATAACCAGTCTAGCCTCAGTTTCTATATGTGAAAAAAGGGGCAGATAACACTACCTGAGATTATAAGGTATTCACACTCCACAGTAGCTATTATTACAGCCTGCCCACGTTCTGTGTGGGCCACCAGAAAGAGATGGGGGAACAGGAACTCAAACGGGGCCACAGGGCAGGGGCCTGGCTCAAGATAGTACTGTGAGGCTGTGAACAAACCCTTGGTCTCTATAAGATGGACATAGCCTGTCAGTCCACTCTGAGGTCCCTCAGGGACTCTCTGCTAGGGGAACAGGCTCAAGGGATAGGAAGCAGAGGCCAATGCCTCTCTGTGAGAGTCTGTAGGAAGTCACCCACTGTGGTGCCTCGCAAGACAGATGGGGCTCACACTAAGACCAATCAATGTCTTTTTGGCTGTCACCATAGACAGGTGACACCAATAACCTTGGGTGGATGTATATGAAGCTACAGGTCTGCATGGAGTAGGTATATCTCAACTGTCATCACAAGGATGTGGAGGAAGCCCTCAAGGTGCAGCCTGGCCCTGGCATCCCTATCTGTCCCTATCACTGGCTGGTCCTCTGTCATTCTGTCTACAGGAGATTAGAGCCTATGGCTGTTCCCATGCCCCCTTCTTGCTGTGAGAGCACTGGCCCAGGAGGTCAGGCCCCACACAGGGTCTCTGTCCCCCCTCTCAAGGCACTGGGCTCTGCCACCAGCAGTAACCATCCCCAGGCTCCATCAGGACAGTTAGCAGGCTGTGCAGCAGGTTATTCGGTCCTTCTTCCTGCTCCTTCCTCATTCCTGCCATCCAATACTCCATCTTCACAATGCCCAGAGATGTAGCTCAGTACCTCACTGCCCACTGTGCAGACTAGAAACCCTCAGCCTGCTGGAAACCTGAGCTGGGCCACTTTAGCTCCTGACCCACTTTTGTTCTCTCTGTCCAAGAGCTTCCTCAGGCCTTGCCAGCCAGGACAGAGTCCCCAGCCAGGGCTAGCATCTGCCTTGTGCAGATTGCCCTATTTTGGGCCTGGACAGTAAAGGGGTCAGACCCAGGTGGGAACACTCTCTCCAGGCCAAACCTGCTCTAGACATAACACAGCTTGCCTGGCAACCTCTGCTCACAGTCGTGGCTGCCCAGCAATGGCTTGGCTATCTGTATAAGCTGTGAACACTGCTCCTCAAAATGTGTGTCAGTGTATTAATGGGGAGCCACCACCCACATCCATGGCACTGTATAGTCCAAAGGGTGTCAGGAAAGGGGGTGGAGACAAGGCCTGAGAACCCTGCTAATGACAAGCACCAGCCCAGGTAGACAACTGGTGGTACCCTAGACATCCTGGCTTAGGAAAGTGGCTGCTACTGCAGAGCTCACAAAAGGGGTTAGTGAAGCTGAGCAACTGTCAGTCACTTAGCACTGCTAGGAAACAGGCAGATTTGAACTCAGAGCTTCAGGCCAGCCTCAGATTCGGGTTGCTTTTCAGTATCCATGCCTCTCCCCCAGATTTCTGCCAGGGGGTTCAGATATGTGAGCAAGGGAGGGCCTGGGAGAAAAGGCCTGGATTCCTCCCCACCCCACTCACGCATTGCAGTGCATTCTAGGGAGCTCAGAAACACCCCAGGAGGGCACAGAAGCCCTCTGAGCCTGTAAGCCCAATGTCACCTGCTAGAGGAACCGGGCACTCTCCACTGCTGCCTGTGAAGGAGGGCAGTCAGAGGCCCACAGGGCCGTCCCGGTCTCTGTGCGTGCTGCGTGAGTAGGTCCTGCGAGGCACCTCACCTTCTGCGCCTGGCTGATCATCTTGCGCACCACTTCCTTGATATGCGGCTGCCCGTCGATGGGCGGCTGCATGTAGACGCTGGCCCGGGTCACGCCGCGGTAGGCGATGGTGTCGGGCCAGCCCAGGTCCAGCTGCGGGATGGAGCGGTCAGACTTCTGGGGCCAGTACTCCAGCGAGGGCAGCGGCTCGGCCTCCGCCAGGGGTCGGCCCACCGCGCTGGCCTCCTCACTGCCGCCCACGCCGTCGTCCTGGGACTCTTGGCGGCGGCCGGAGCCCCGCGGGTCCTCGGAGCCGGGGTCGTACACCTCGATGGTCTCCACGATGCGCGCGAGCTCCAGCTCCGAGAGGAAGTCGCGGATGTTCTCGCGCTTCAGCACCTCGTAGAAGGCGTCGCGGCCGCGGGCCACCAGCGCCTCCAGCGCCAGCCGCTGCTCCTCGCTGTAGAAGAACTCCGGCTTGGACTCGCTGGAGCGCCAGTTCACGTGGTTATCATCCAGACACTGCACCTGGGAGAAGGCCATGGCGGCCCGCGGTGTGGGGACGCGCCGACGGGCAGCGCGCGCTCTCGGGCTCCGCCGCCTCCGCGCCTCTGCGCACTGCACCTGAGCGAAGGAGCAAAAGACTAGCGGTGGGTCAGAGGGCAAGCGGGGGCGTGGCAAGGGGGCGTGGCACCGTGAGGTGGGGGCCGGAGCCGTCCAAGGCGGCGGTTCGCGTCCGGGGTCCCTGGGCGCCCTGCCCCACCCAGTTGGCTGGAGGGAGAGCCGGGGCGCAAGCCCAAGAAGGAATTCCGGGAAGGGCGGCTCGCCAGTCCCGCGGCCTGCCCAAAAAAAGGACTCGCTTACCGGGGCGCAGCGCGGAATGGACGACCACAGCGAACACAGGTAGCAGCGGCAGCCGGCTGGACGGCCGGTGACTAAGGGCCGCCCCGCCCATCTCTGGGCCTGCACCTGGGGTCACGTGCGGCCCCAGGGGCGGAGCCGGAAGCTGATTCACCTCCTTAGACAGACAGTGCAAAGCCCAAATTCCCTAGTGCTCAAGACTGAGAGTTGGCGAAGCAGCAATCCAGAGAGGGACAGTGCTCTGAGGTCACACAGCGGTTAAGCCTTCGAGATCTGCTGAGTATCCTGGGCCAGCCCTAACCCTGTTCAGTCTCGCAGATGGGACAGGAAGTCCCGTGGCTATGTAGTTGCCCCGCTGTCCAGTTACAGAGGGTTGGGCTCCTGGACAAAGATGGGCCTAATCTGAGCTCCACCCCTAGTTACCCCCACAGCACCTTCCCGAATTTCACAAAGAAAGTACTCAGCTTAGTCCTGAGCCCTGCTGCCAGCGGGGTCATTACAGGTTCCCACCGGTTGTGGCTGTGCACAGCACCTGCCTGAACCCTGCAGCAGGGGAAGGTGAAGAGGACCGGCTTGGGCTCAGACCCAGTTTTTGACTAGGCGTCCCCCTAGTAATGGAGGGCGTGGGGACCACATCTGAGGGCAGGCTTTCTGGGGCAAGTCAGCAAAGCCCATTAAACTCTGCGGACAAACAGCTCCTACCCTGTGGCCTGTTGCTCCAGTGCACCAGGCCTGCCCTGTCCTCCCAGCCCTCCTAGTAGCTCTGAGCCTAGGTGGAACTGGTTTTAATCTCCAAGGACACTGGCTTTGCCCTGCTGAGGATTGGCTCTTGACAACTCGACGCCTTGTACCCCCCTGAAACCACCACTGTCCATCATTCGATGAGGCCTTCTTGCCCTGCATCCACTGCCTTGAGCAGTCACCACTGCCCCCCAGACCCCATCATTGACTTCCCCAAGCGCAAACCCTGTACCCCTAACCTTTAGATCCCCATCTGTGCCAGGCTTTATACCATGTGAACAGTATGGCCTCAGACCTGCTCCAGCTTGGTACCTCTCTTTCCCAAACTACCTGCAACCCCTCCCTCCCAGGAGCAGAGAGGGGCAGTGGTAGTGAGTCCTGGACCTCAGGACTTACTGGTCCTTGGGGTCTTACCACTGCGAAGCGGCCTTGGCTTCATTAAAGAGCCTGCTTTCAGGCTGGAAGGCTCTTAATCTGTCCTTCCTGGTCAAGCCACAAGAAATTGTCAAAAGGGGGCAGGAGAGATGGCTCAGCAGTTAGTTAAAAGCACTGACTGCTCTTGCAGAGAACCCAGGTTCAGTTCCTAACACCCATATGGCAGCTAACAATAGTCTATAACTCCAGTTCCAGGGGAATCTGACGCCCTCTTCTGACCTCTACAGGCATTGCATGCAGGTGCTACACAACATATATGCATGCAAAACACTCATACCATAAAGTAAAAATAAGTAAATCTGAATTTTTTTAAAAAGAAGTCATAAAAAGTACAGTGGGGGCTATTGGCACCCTTTGTCGGTTCCCCCAGTCATACCCTGAGCATAACTATTTTGGTCAAAGACAACCTGGGTGCCATCCACAGAGGCTGTTCAGATCTCATCAGTCTTACCTGAGTGTGTGTGTGTGTGTGTGTGTGTGTGTGTGTGTTTAGCATTGTCAGGTGTGTAGATTTGTGTAACCATCACTGTCAAAATGTGTATGAAAGAGCATACCTGTAATCCCAGGAGGCTGAGGCAGGAGGATTGCAGATTTGAGGCTAGCTGGGTTAGCACAACTATACTGCTGCAGAGACCTCACTCATTAGAGCCAGACAACCAAGTCCCCACATCAATCCTAACTGTCACTAAAGCACTCTCCATCTCCCCATTCCTATGGAAACCACAGTAATGTCTTTAACAAACTGGCAGGCTGCATGCCAGAGCACTGTGCCATCTTACATCCCACCAACCATTTGTGGCCTCATGTCTCCCATGTGGCCAGTGTGTACTAGTACCACTCATTTTTTTTAAACTGTGGCTGTTCTGATAGGTGTGTAGTATTGTGGTTATTGCTTATTTATTTTTGTAATGCTAGGGGTGGAGTCTGGCCTCCTACATAGTAGGCAAGCACCCCAGCCTTCTCACTGTGGTTTAAGCTATGCTGTCTGGTGGCTCTTGTCAGCTGTTTACTTGCCATATGTATGTCCTCTTCAGTGAGCTCTCTGTTCTTGGCTTTGCCCCTTTCCTAATGGATTCCTTTCTTTCTGTTGAGTCTCTAGCACTCTTTATATATTATAGATATAGAATTTTTGTTGGGCATGTGTTGAGTGTATAGTTTCTCCCAGTCTGTAGCTTGCCTCCTTGTCCTTTTCACATACTGAGCAGAGGTTGTGAGTTTTGCTGAGATCATTTCATCAGTTCTGCCTGTCATGGATCATGCTTCTGGTGTTGTGCCAAAGAACTCTTGCCTATCTCTAGATCCTAGAGATTTTCTATTTTATTCTCCAGAAAATTTGACCAAGTTTTAATATTTAAAAAATTTTATTGATTATTTTTATTTTATGTGTATGAGCGTATTGCTTACATGTGTGTAAGTGCAACCTATATTGTGCAATGCCCATGGAGGTCAGAAGAAGGTGTTGGGTTCCCTGGAACTAGAGTTATGGATGGTTGTTAGCTGCCATGTGGGTGCTGGAAATCAAACCCAGGTCCTCTATAAGAGCAGCTAGTGCTCTGGGTTTTGCCTTCTCTGCTGTCTAGCCCAAGGTGCCCAGAGGTGGAGTCCATACCAGGAGCCTGAAGCTGACTCAGTGAACTTGAGAGACTTCCTGACTAGGCTTTCAGAGTCATTGTGCTCTAGGATGCCTTCCCGGTCCCTCCTAGGAGGGCTGGGTCCTTGAGTGGCAGAACCGGCAGGGCTGGGCCCAAGCTCATAGTCTGTCTCAGAGTCCCAGGCCTACAAGGTCTCAGGAGCCTGCCCTGAGGTCCCAGGCTTGGTTCTGGGTCTGACTGTGTGTCTTAGGCAATTATGTCTTTTTTGGTCCTATAAAACTCCCTGGGTTGGAGGCGGTAGGGTAGGCAGCAGGGTGAAGCAGTGCCTGAAATTGGGGCTCTCTCTGTGAACCTTTCTCCTTTTCTTCTCTTCATCTGCCTTTCTTCCCTCCTCCTCCTCCCTTCTTCTCTCAGTTACTCATTAGTTCATTCAACAAATGTTCAGACTGTCTCCTCTGGGCCCAGCCCTGGGTAGGGCAATGCCTGGAACTTGAGATGATTCAAACTGGTGTCTGCCCTCAGGGTGCTCCTGGGCTGCTGAGGAAAGGAGGCACAGTAAACAAACAACAGGGACTAAATCCTGGGCCTCAGGAGCTCTGGACAGGGGGCGACAGTCCAGAGCATCAGAGGAGGGGCTCTTTGCCACCAGCCTTATAGCAGGAGATAAACAAGAGTGGCCATGAGAGTTTCTAGGACAATGGCACGCAGGGAGGAGGACCAATATCTGCAGAGACTTGGAGGCGTCCAGGTGCTGGGTGTATACAAGAAAGTATAAGCAGCTAAGGTAACAGGTTCCTGGGTGCCAGATGGAGGTTATGGGGCCAGCCACCCTAGGAGTGGCTGCACCATGATGTGCTGCTGAGTGGACATGAAGGCCAAGCATAGGCCTCCCCCTCTCTTGCCTCTACCTCCCCCTTTGAGGAAGATGGGTGAGAGGTGGGGGGGGCAAAGGAGACCAGCAGCCACACAGGCTCACAGGTAGGCCACACCATAGGTGACCCCTGGCCTGGATCTGGGAGTAAGGGGCAACCAGACAAGGGCCTGTGATGGAGACAGCAGTAAGGAAGAAAGCGGACTGGAACTCCAGGGGCTAGTGCTGGGAATCTGAGACAAGGAGTCAGAGGGACAACAGGGCAGCTCGGGCTAGGCTGGTAGAGGTGGGAGACCTGTGGCCACCATACAAAGGCACTCTCTACCACAGATGATGTGGGCTGCGTGGTACCATCCGAGTGTCTGCGGGCCTGCGGGGCTGAGATTGGCTGCTCCAACATCGCCTATCCAAAGCTGGTCATGGAATTGATGCCCATTGGTGAGTCTCTGAGCCACACACAAGTGAGAAGTCCTGGTAGGTGAGGGTCAGGGGCTGAGGGACTGCTCTGGATCCTGTGTGAGTCCCTGTGACATCCAACTGGCAAAACAAAATGATCAGGAGAGGAAACCCCAGACTTCCCACGTCAGCTTTCTTCTTCCCCAGCATGCTCAGCTGGGCTCATCTTCATTTAAAGATGGAGAACTTGAGGCTAGAAAGATGGCTCGGCAGTTAACAGCACTGGCTGCTCTTGAAGAGGACCAAGGTTCAGTTCCCAACACTCACGTGACAGCTTACAACCACCTGTAACTCCAACACTAGGGGGTCTGATGCCCTCCTCTGGTCTCCAAGAGTTCCTTCATTCATGTGGTACACATAAACTCACAAAGGCAAATGCACATACACATAAAATAAATAAATACATAAGTAGCCTGGTCTACATCATGAGTTCCAGGCTACCTGGGGCTATAGGGAGACCCTGTCTCAAAAAAATAAAGAACAAACAAAAAAGATGGGGAACTGTGGAGACCTAGATAGGTGGGTGACCTTGCAAAGGTCACAAGTATGTAAGCTGCCTGCAGAGCCTGTCCTTATGCCCTTACAGTGCTACCTGTGGAGAAAGACTACCCACTGCCTTGTCTTACCACCTTCTGGATGCCAGTACTTTACTAATACTTTCTCACATGGGAAACCAAAGCCCAGGCTGACATACAAACCCAAGTCCACAGCTTACTCTCCTGAGATCAGGAGCTTTGGACCCTCAGCTCCCCATATCTGCAAGCATGAGCTCCCCAAAGATACTGCTGTTAGTAAGAAGAGCCATGGCAGGGGTTTTGACTTTCTCCATGGTTCTTATGGTGGCCTTGCTAGTCTGATATTGGGTGGTGAGTTTCCTAGCCAAGGATGTGTGCAAGCAGAAACAGCATTCAAGGGCTGGGAGATGTCTCCCTGAGCAAAAAGAAAAGTCAGTGCTCTGAGCCCTGCAGTAGCCACTGGATTTGGATGCTTAGGCTCTTCCCAGCCTCCCTCCCTCCTTCTTACAGGGCTGACCCAGGATATGGGCATATATACCTGAGAACAGTCCTTGGCTCTAGCATGTGTAGATGGAGCTATCTGGGACATGTCACTTCTCTGCTTGGAGCCTGATGTCCTCATTTGTAAATTGGGGATAATGAGTCTACCCACCCTGAGGGTTGTTGCCAGGATTAGGCCTAATGACACGGGGATGATGCCTGGCACAGGGCCTGACGGTGCTCCCACCTCAGGCTGTGCCTCCCCTTCAATCCTGAGCTGGGGACTCAGCCCAGCACTGATACCCCACCTGTTGAGCCTCCAGTCCGGTCTAGCTATTTGAGAAATGGGTATAATAAGCACCACATCAACCCACTTCCCAAACAAGCAAGGTGGGCTGACAAATATTTAAGGGGAACCATGCCTTAACTCCTTTTTCTTCGGGCCCCATCCTAGTCACTCTGAGAGTGAACAGAACAGGTCATGGGATGTCTGGAAGTTATATTGCAGAACCAAGGTCAGCCTTCCCGGGGTAGAAGTCAGAGACAGAGACAAGGAGTCGGCTACAGAGGAGGAAGTGACCAGATTGAAGCACCATAGCACTGAGTCATCTAGGCCCCCACCTTCAGGCCCTCTGGAGCCCCTAACTCCTAGAATGCTGCCCCTCCTGGCTAGGGACACTTCACTCACAGGAAATATCGGCATAGATTTCTCATGCCCTCACCCTGACCAAGGCTTTTTCTCTGTACCAAGGAGAGGGGATCCCCCATGCCAGCGGGGGCCTGCCTGCACAGGAAGTGTCTAAGAATTCCAGAGACTAGGCCACTGTCTGTGGGTATGTGATGCTGGTGGGCTCTGCCCAGGTGTGACCTTCCTGTGCACGTCTCCCCTGCCTGCCCCTGTTCTGCCTCTGTCCCTGAAGCCGAATCTAGCTTCAGTTTCTAAGCATTCAGTCCCTCTGCTAGGTATCCTCCTTCTAGGGAACTCAGGGTAGGGAAAGTGCTTTGTCAGCTGCTGGCTCTGCAGAAGGCAGACTCCAGGGAACAGCCTGCTGTGTGGGTAATTATGGCCAGCTTTCAGATTTCTCAGCCCATTCAGAAGTCCACTGAAGGCCCTGGCCTCAAGGCTGTTCTTTGAGTCCTGCTCATTTTCCTCAGCCTGTCTCCCTCCCAGAAGTGTAGGAGTGATTCCGAGCCCAGGCAGAGCCAAGTAGTGTCACAGTGGCCTCTGTCCCTTCCTCAGGTCTTCGAGGGCTGATGATAGCCGTAATGATGGCTGCACTCATGTCTTCATTGACCTCCATCTTCAACAGCAGCAGCACACTCTTCACTATGGACATCTGGAGGCGACTGCGGCCCTGTGCAGGAGAGCGGGAACTGCTGCTGGTGGGACGGTATGGGGGGATGTGGAGAGGGGCTTCTGAAGCCCTACCATCTGCTTGTGGAGTCCTCACTGGATCTGGGGTTTGAAGGAAGCATAGGAATTTGCTAGAGAATGGAGAATTCCATGGAAGGAAGAGACCAGAGTACTGTATTCATGCCTTCCCTGGAAGCATCTGTCACACTGAGCTGATTCTTCACTGGGGTCAGCTCTGCTTCCCCAACAACACCAGAGCTCTCTCTGGCCCTACCAGTGGCTCCACCTGCCCTGAAGTGATCCCAGAGCTAATGCTCAAGCTGGCTACACCCAGCTGCAAGTGTTCCTCTGGTCTCAGGCCTCTACACCGTGGCCTCTCTTGATGGTCTATATTTCCTCCTGGCCTGGCTTATCCCTTGCTGACTCAGCTCAGCACTCTGTCTCATCTTTCTGGCCTCTACCACAAGGCCTCTCCTCTGTGTAGCCTTTCCTGATACTTCCATCCCAGGACTGAGCCCTCCCCACTGTGCACCGGACAACGGCCAAATCCTTCTCTGGAACATTAGGACCATAAGTCCAAATGATCCTCCCCTTAGACAGTCCCACCCTGTCCCTGTGCTCAGCTGGGTGCCTGGGGGGTGGCTGGCCTCAACAATGAAGGGTGTCTGACCTGCCCCCCCATGGGCCCCACCCGACTAATGAAGGGCCAGTTGCAGCCTCCCTCCTGGAGCCAAGTGCCCAGCCTGGGGCAGGGGCTCTCCCAGCAGTTGTCTCAGTAATACAAGCAGCCAGCTTCTGTGAGAAGAGCCTTGTTGGGACACGCCTGGGAGCAGACTGATGACGTGAGCTCATCCTCAGCCAGGGAACCTCTGGCTTTGGTGGCAGAAGTTCATGTCCAGGGGGCCTGGCCATGTGGCCTCTGACCTCCTGTTCCTCTGCTACCTCCCCATAGGCACCGTGTGAGGATGGGCCTGTCCCTCTCACTACAGCATCTTCCCAGAGAGAAATCCCAGACTCCACCTCCAGAGCACTGGGTCTGGGTCCTCACCCTCTTAACACCCCCCTCCATTGGGTGCCCTGCTCTCTGGCTTGGGACCCTAGTAGCCCTAGCACCTGGCCTGTGACCCTCATGCTCCCTGCCTCCCGACCTCCCAAAAGCAGGCTCTTTTCGGCTGGTTTCATTGTAAGTCAGAGGGCTATCACAGGCTGGGGTGGGGGTTGTGGAAGTGAGGACCTCAACTCTGAGCCCTGGGCTTTGTTAGCCTCAAGCCCACCTGACCTCTATTCCTTCACCTCCCTCCCAGCTGCTCCTTTCTATTTCCTTGAAGGACTCAGGTTCCTATCATCTTGGCAGCCTCCCAGGGCATGGGAGGGAGGAAGGGTGCTCTCTGGAGGCTGTCCCAGGCAGTGATAGTAGCTTCCCTGTTCAGGCCCTGCTGCTGCTGGGCCCTGGGGCTGGAGGAGAGTGGGAGATGTCCATGGAGGCCACCAGGCTTTGAAGAGGCCCAGCCCACTGCTAAGGGTTAATTACTCTCAATCAACCGGCACCTCCTCCTTCCACCACCCTTTCGCTCAGGCCTGGCCTATAGCACTGGGTGGAAGGACCCAGTTACCACTGCATGGGGTGGGCTGTCGGCCTGGTCCACACTCCCCTTGGCGGAGAGGCGACTTATCCTGGGATGGGATCCCGGCCTGCAGCCCTTCGAGGCCCCACACTGTCTCTGGGTTTCCTCAGCTAGCGTAGGATGGGTGATCTGTTGGCTGAGCAGGGTCGCAAGGACTCCGACTCCGGGTGCCCAGCTGCCCCGGCGCCGGGCCAACCCAGGGGTGCGCCTGAGCGCCAACAAGGCGCAGCGAGGCGCGAAGCGCAGGAGGGAGGCGTCTAGCTGAGCGAACGTGGAACGGAGTGCACCCTGCAGTTGTGTGTGTGGGGGGTCACCCGCCAAGGGCTGCTGGCCGAGATCTGCAGCACCCGCCAAGGAGTCAGAAGACTCGGGGTGCTCCACGACGCGCCAGTGGGGCAGGTTGGCCCAGACGATAGGGCCACGGTCCCCAAAAGTTTAGGGAGCTCAGGAAAGCATGGGGAACCGAAGAACATATGCGCGCAGAGATGGGGCACGCAGAGCAGGAAGGGAGGAACAGGGCTGAGTCAGTGGCTCTAAGGAGCCAGGGCTGGAGAGGGAGCAGGAGAGAGCTTGGTGCCTGGTGGCTTGAGCTGTGATGGGGAGCAGGTCTTGGGAAAGGGGCGGTACAGGACTGAGGCAAGGCTGGCCGCTGCCGCCCACAGGCTGGTCATCGTAGTGCTCATCGGTGTGAGCGTGGCCTGGATCCCGGTCCTCCAAGGTTCCAACAGCGGGCAGCTTTTCATCTACATGCAGTCGGTGACCAGCTCCTTGGCACCTCCAGTCACCGCCATCTTTGTTCTAGGCATCTTCTGGAGGAGAGCCAATGAGCAGGTAGGTGGCAGGGGCAGGCCCTGGTGGGGCTCTCCCTGTGGGTACCCCACAAGGTCCCTTCAGGTCTTCCCTGGTCTCCCTCTTCTCCAGGGGGCCTTCTGGGGCCTGATGGCAGGGCTGCTGGTGGGCGCACTGAGGCTGGTCCTGGAATTCCTGCACCCTGCGCCGCCTTGCGGTGAGGCAGATGAGAGGCCAGCTCTCCTCCTAAGCATACACTACCTTCACTTCGCCATAGCCCTCTTCCTGTTCACCTGTGCTGTGGTGGCCGCTGGGAGCCTGCTGAGCCGGCCACCCCAGCAAAGACAGGTGAAGCCATTCTAACCCCTGACTCCACTCTCCAATCCTGATCTGATCCTAAGAATTTCTGACTGCTCACACACACCCTGCCCGTCTCTTGACTCCAGAATATTCCTGCTGTTATGTCCACCTAACCCTTGCGGGCCCTGACTTCGTTGAATTAAGCATATCTCTTTGTGTCGCTGACCCCTGACCCTCTCTGAAGCCACTTTTCCCTGTTATACCCCTTGTAATCCTTTCCTGCAGATTGAGAACCTTACCTGGTGGACCCTACATCGGGACCCCTCCTTAGGAGCCAAAGAAAGTAAGTGGGTCATCCTGCTATGGACGCCTCCCTCCCACACCACACCCAGGCTGGGGCTGGAGGCATGGGCATCCAAACAGAGGCCTTTGCCCCTCACTTTCTCTCCTCAACCCCCTCTAGGTGATGGCCAAACACCCCAGAAACATGCTTTCTGGGCCCGTGTGTGTAACTTCAATGCCATCCTCCTCATGTGTGTCAACATCTTCTTCTATGCCTACTTTGCCTGATCCTCCACTGCAGTAGGAAGGTGGGAGCCCCAAGTCCACAATGCCATCCTCATTCCTAAGGTGGACATGGAGGCTCAGGGGACAAAATGTCCCCCAACTATACTAGTCAGTGCCAAGTGACCGATCAAGTAGAGCTGGAGCTCTGAAAACACAGGGGGATCATTTCAAAAGCAACACCCAAGTAGTTAGACATGGGAAATAAAAGCAATTTTACTGGACAGCCACTTACTGGTAGTTCACAGCTTTTATTTTTCAATATGCAGGTGCAGGTTGGCAGCAGAAGGTGTGCAGGCTGAGGGCCTGTAGGATCTTGGGCCAGCCCTAAACTCAGGGAGAACCCCATATGCTTTACAACATGGGCCCCTCTGGGGACTGCAGATACCAGAGAGAGGCCTTCTCACTTCAGCCTCCTCCAAAGCCTGCCATGCCAGGCCTTGCCAAGTCTAACTTTGTTTTCCCTGCCTGAAGATGTTAGGGCTCTGGGCAGAGGCTGCTTATGGCCATGCACTCCCTATAGACTACATTCATACACACTGTAGGCTGCCTGCTCCTCTCCTGTGGTCCTCCCAGAACCAGCACAGCCCAGGCCTCCCTCGAGGATGGACCCTGCATGTGGTCAGGAGAAGTGGACCCATGGCATGGCTTCTGTCCCTATCAGGCCCCTTTCCATTGGGGCTTGCCTCTGGCCTCACCCCAGTGCTGGTAGGGCAGGGCCAGATGCCCCAGGTGAAGACCCAAGTTGTTGCAGTCAGGGAAGCTACCATACTTCTGTGTGGAAATCCAGGTCACTCAGGACTGAACCACCTTTCCAGTGGCCTGCACAATTGAAGGGAGAGGGGGTAGCAGGTGGCTGGCCCAAAGAGATCACTCTCTGAGCTGGGTCCCTCAATCCTAGAGAGGTTGGACCTTGACATTGGTGGGTGGGGCCTCCTGAGGCCAGCCCCATGATGTCATGCACCAGGCGACCAATGGGGAAGTGGCCATGCTGGAAACCCTGAGCTTGCCGAGGCGAGGCTTCGTAGTCACCCACACTGATAGCTGGGCACCCTGGTTAGTGTGAAGAAGCTGACACCATCGCTGGCGCGTTGTGGCTCTCCGCTGTCCCCCTGGGGGTGTGAGCCCGGGCCTCCCTCCCTCTACACCGCGGTTACAGGTGCACTGGTTGCACATAGCTCCTTGGGAAGAAGCCCAGGCGTCCGCCAGCCCGGCCCCGCCACCAGTGCGGGTCCCCGCGCTCCACGATTTCCACAATGTCTCCACGGCGGAGGCTGAGCTGAGACGGGTCTTGTGCCGAGAAGTCAAACTGGGCCTGGGCAAAGCAGGCCCGGGGCGGCTGCAGGGGGAACGGAGAGGTCAGTGACCTCCCGAGGCAGTGAGCTGTCCCCCAAGGTTGTCCCTCCCAGGAGCTCCAAAGGAGAAGGGAGCGCAGCTGCGGGGCATCCAGATGGTGATCATGGGCTAGGTAGGCCCTCTGCTGCCCCAGCACATGCATAGAACCTAAGTCCTGGGCCTCAGACGGGACTAGGGGAGGTCCCATTTCCGGCCTCTGGCCAACAGGGTTATGATAACTTCCATGCCAGGCATGGAGGCGCTCCACGTCCTGGAAAGCTAAGAGCAGCTAAGGGACTGAGAGGTGAATCCTGCCCTGCTGCCGCCTCTCAGGCCAGCTCCAGGCCGCTATGCCCCAGTGTGGCCTTGGCTCATGTCTGCCTACTCATGTCCTTCCCTGTCTCCAAGGCTGAGCAGAGCTGTGCTCCAGCACAGGTCCTCTGCGGGTCAGGATCTGCTGCTGAGCCTGCAGAACTTCCTCCAGGGCTAATAGAATCAGCAGGCTTTGCCCAGGAAGGAAGAGGAGTCAGGGGACCCAGCAGGATGGGTGACCCCAGGGCACTGGTCAGTATAGGGGAGGACATGTCAGCTCCTCCCCTACACTGGGCAGGACTGGCCCAGGTCAGACGGTTTGGGACACAGAAACTAGGGGGCCCAGAAACTAGGAGCTCCCAGCTGACTTTGGTTCAGCAGGCTAGTAGTGGAGGCGAAGCTGCCCCACTGGTGGGATCTCCACAGTACAGTGTGCCTCTCTTGGTAAAGCAAACCTCTCCACTCATCCTATAAAACAGAGGGGAAACCGAATCCCAACTAAGAGCTGAACTAGCCTCAGGCCAGGTATCTGGGTATTTGTGGAGATTCGAACATTGCAGGGCTGTGCTGTGCACAGTTGGGCAGCCCCTCCCCAGGTCTTAGCTGGAGTCACCTCCCCTCACCCTCTTTGGAGCCCAGGTTCAAATGCGCCATGGTCTTTATTTGTTCTGGCCTCCAAGGAAAACAGCATGCTGGGCTAATAACCCAGTTGGCTGGTATCGTCATCTTAATGAGTGAGAGCTGCTCCCGACCCCTTGATGAAAGGGCTGGCTGCAAGCAAATTGCTGTTATTGTGAGGACTAGGGGTGGAAGGATTCCCCCTACATCCTAGGCTCAGTCAGGCCTCTCCCCTGAGGGATCACACCACCCACATCCTGTCCAAAGGCAGCTAGCTCTTCCTAGGGGAGCAGAGACCAGCCTCCCATGTTGTAGCCTTAGATGAGCTGGCTCACTCTCAGTCTGTTTCCTTATTTGTATAATGGGAATGGTGAGGGGCTCAGAATGTACAGAACACCAAACATGGTGGCTCAAGCCTATAATCCCAGCACTCTGGAGGCTAAGGTAGGAGGACTTCTGTAAGAGTTCAAGACTAGCTAGGGCTACGTAGTGAGACCTTGTCTCAAATCAAGAACAAAACATCCAAAACCAAAATCAGAGTCCATGAAGCAGCTCAGTGTGTGGGACTCAGCTGTTGTCCATATGTTCACCCATTCATGAACAAGCATTTATTGAGCATTTACTGAATGCCCCACATTATTTCAGGAACTGAGAGCAAGCCAGTTTGGGTTGGCAGGGTGGAGTTTCTACATTGTCCTTACCACTTTCTCCCCCCTTATCCTGCCCTATCCTTGCTTAACTCCTGCAGGGACCACCCCCCATGCCACACAGGGGGCTTGGGCTGCTGGAGAAGGAGAGGTTCCCCCCAGTCTCAGGTTTCCCTGTCGGGTCCTTACCTTGAGCAGTGGCTGCTCATCACACAGGAAGATTTGCCGCCTCTTGGCAATGGTGGTGGTACGGTAGAAGTCCACCAGTTCGTTGAGGGAGTTGAACTTCTCTTCCCACAGGAAGTACTTCCCTGAGGCCTCTCTGAGCACCTTGAAGTGCTGCACCTGATCACCATAGCTGCAGGGGAAGACCCAGTGCTCAAACCTGCCCCCATCTCTAGAGCCAGGTCCTGCTCTGGGGAGATCTGGAGTCAAAGGCAAAGATGCTGGGGGCTGCCCTGGCAGTAGAATATGGGACCCAGGGTGTAGGCCACTTTTTTGCTGTGTGACTTTAGGCAAGGCATTTAACTTCTCTGAGCCAGTTTCCTCACATGGACAATAATTATGACAAGTAAGCGAAAATGTTGACTGTGGCATTGTTGCCTGCCTCTGAGAGTATCTCTTTCATACCTCTTCAATATCCCCTTAGCTCTGACATTCTCCTTCCTCCCCTGCCCCTTCCCAGTCCCCAGGGGAGTCCCAAGATCATCCTGACTCAGACCTGGGATGTTTTGGGTATTCCATGTCCTTTCTTTCTTCTTAAGAACCTTCTATGGCTCCCACTGCTCTTGTGACAAACTCTTAATTCCTCAGATTCAAGAGCTGACCCCTTATCTGTCCTGTCTTCTCTGATGCCAATAGCCACTTTCTTTTTCACCCTTTGTCCAGCCTTTCAGCTCACTGCCTCCAAACTGCGTCAAGCCCCTTCCAGTCCAGCTGAAGCACATTATTCTGGTAGGGACTGGGCAGAGGGACCTGCTTGGACTCTGCCCATAAGCTACCCAATACCAGGACTGCCATGCATGGCTGGGCCTAAATGTAGGCAAGCACAGTGACAGCTGTAACTTCTGGGACCCCCTTCCCTGTCTCAGGGTGACTGGGCCTGCCTCCCAGCCCTGTGCAGTGGGAAACTGAAGTGAGTGCAGCCGCAACCAGTTTGGAGTGCCACAGAGGCTGGGTGGGGCAGCCTCATCACAAGGAGGAGCTCTCTAGTTGGTTACCTGTGGTGACAATGGCAGAATGGTAGTTGTCACTCCCACAGGGAGATTAATTATGTCTCAGATCTCTTTCAGGTCAGTTTGGTCCCTGGGCTGTGCACACCACCCGTCATTCCCCTCCCTTCTGCCCCACCTAACCCTTGCGCAGCTTCTCCACCTGTCAGCCCTGTTGCTTTAAATGGTTAAGATTCAAGATTTAGGATAAAGACAGCCCTGGGAATCTGAGAATTTTCTTGGCCCAGCCCAGTCTAAAGTTTAGAGAGGGTGCTGGCATATATCAGTAACCCTAACACTTGGGAGGCTGAGGCAGGATTGCCTGGAGTTTGAAGCTAGCCTGGGCTACATAAGTGGAGTCCTTACTCCTCCAGTGGGAAGGAATTTTCACATACCTAATCATGTTCAAGTCCCTGCTAAACTACCCTTGCCTTTGGGATCTACCTCACATTCCCTCATCAGTCAGGGTTTGCCTTGGATCCCTGCTCCCTCATGCAGTGTTCTTGTAGTCTGAGCAAAGGGGTCCTACTCAGCCCACCATCTGCCGTTCCTCCCCACTGAGCTGCCCTGAGGGCCCATACAGCCCACTCTATCTATACCCTCTCACTACAGGGCTGCCCTGAGGCCCACACAGCTGATCATGGATCATGCCTTCAAGTCTCACCATAAAGCTGCCCCAAGGGTTCCATACAACCTACCATGCCTTTACCTCTCACCATAGAGCTTTCCTGAGGGCCCACGAAGCCTACCAGGCCTTTAGCCCCTTACCACTGAACTGCCCCAAGAGCCCATGCAGCCCACTACACCTGTACCTCTCACCACAGCTTGCTCTTGAAATCTCCTTCTTGAGGACTGCAGATACTGGGTGTCCTCAGCACTGTTATGTGGCTTCAGAGGGGCCAGCTTCTCCAAGAGGAGGCCTCTGCCAGCTAGAGCCACAGCTTGCAAGCCTGAGACAAAGCTGCTTATGAGCCAACAGCACAGTGTTCCCAGTAACTAAGCTGCTGGTGTTGGCCTGTGAGACACGCGTGTGTGTGGTGGGGGCAGGATGCTGAGGGTGGGCAGGGGACAGTGGATCCACCTGTCTGGCTTCTGGCTGAGCTGCACAGGGAGTGGTCCCCATGAGAGGTAGAATGATGCTGACCTACTGTGGCTGGGCATGCAGAGGCCCCAAAGAGCATGTGGGGCGGGCAGGCTCAGGACTCTCAGGGCCCTGTGGGATCCAAAAGCTGCAGCTCCACGCCTCAGGCATGGAGAGTTTTGCAGAGGAAAGCTCTTGGATCCCATGGGAGAGCCGGGGGATGGGGCAAGGGGCCAGAAGTTCTAGAATTTTCCAACCTGGCAACTGAGAAAACCTCAAGGCTGGGAAATGTGGCAGCCTCAGCTGACCCATAACTGCCCCTGTTTTCCAGCTGAGCAGGGCCATGCTCTCTGAGAGCAGGTCAATCCCTCGCCAGAATACTACCCTGTCCCTAAGCCTCAGAGTTCAGGAGAGGAGGCAGTGCAGATTGACTCCCACGTTCGCAGTATGCTCCAACACAATGTGTCTTCAGACATCCCCACCTCTAGGAAAGTGACGACCTTTACTCCTCACTGGGAAGCCACTGGGTGACCCTAACCCTCATCTCCATGGGGACTGTGCTGAGTCTGGTCCCACTGTCAGAAAGCCTAGGGACCTAGTCAGGCCAGTCCTGCCAAGCAGGTTTTTTCTGATCTGGTGGCAGCAACAGCAGCTGAGAGGGGAAACAAAGCTGGGTTGGGTGGGCAGGAGCCCCACGCTCCCCTGTTCCAGCCTGGACCAGGCCTGGGTACTCACTGCTCACCAGGCTTCTGTCTGTTGGAGAATAGGGAAGGGTGGAGAGCCTGAACTGCAGCACACAGGAAGAGAGCTAACCTTGGGTGGGCTGGGCTGAGCAGAGTCTGGGAGACATGCCCCAGTCTTTGCATTCCAGAGAATGTGCTTGGTGAACAAACTAGATCTGTTGGGGCACAGGAGGTCAGTGGGCATCTGCTTCCCTGTACCTTGCTTGTGTGACTTCCAGCAAACTCCTGCACCTCTGAACTTCTGTTTCTTTACACCCCCGCCCCTCCTGCCCCCAGGGCCTGGGGATCCTGCACCTTTCCTACCTGCCTGCTTCATTTTTTTCAAGCCTCCATTATTTGTTAATCATGTATTTCCCATCACTCCAGTCACTCACAGGCACCCAGGCGACAAGGAATTTTGTCCTATTTTGTCCTTCAGCACCTAGGATAAGGCCTAGCTCATGGCAGGTGTTTAGTGTGGTGCCAGCCTTGTAGGGAGGATACCTGTGCACTAACTCCAGGGCACCCATAGCCAGAAAGGAAGCAAGATGCCTCACCCAGGGACAAACTGCCATCAGCTGTGACAGAAGATGTTCCAGCAGCTTGGACAAGAGTGTGGGGGAAAAGCCACAGTTGCCCAGTGGGTTTTTCACAGCCATGTGCCAGCTCTGGCCTGGGGGTGGGGGAGTGAGAGGGTTGGGGGGTGGGAGGT